TGTAGGTTTGGGTTCATGAATGCAACAAATTTCAAAGCCAAGCACAGTTAAAGCCCTGGTCTACACTAGGACTTTAGGTCGAATTTAGCAGCGTAAAATCGATGTAAACCTGCACCCGTCCACACAATGAAGCCCTTTATTTCGACTTAAAGGGCTCTTAAAATCGATTTCCTTACTCCACCCCTGACAATGGATTAGCGCTTAAATCGACGTTGCCGGCTCGAATTTGGGGTACTGTGGACACAATTCGATGGTATTGGCCTCCGGGAGCTATCCCAGAGTGCTCCATTAGGACCGCTCTGGACAGCACTCTCAACTCAGATGCACTGGCCAGGTAGACAGGAAAAGAACCGCGAACTTTTGAATCTCATTTCCTGTTTGGCCAGCGTGGCAAGCTGCAGGTGACCATGCAGAGCTCATCAGCACAGGTGACCATGATGGAGTCCCAGAATCGCAAAAGAGCTCCAGCATGGACCGAACGGGAGGTACGGGATCTGATCGCTGTTTGGGGAGAGGAATCCGTGCTATCAGAACTCCGTTCCAGTTTTCGAAATGCCAAAACCTTTCTGAAAATCTCCCAGGGCATGAAGGACAGAGGCCATAACAGGGACCCGAAGCAGTGCCGCGTGAAACTGAAGGAGCTGAGGCAAGCCTACCAGAAAACCAGAGAGGCGAACAGCCGCTCTGGGTCAGAGCCCCAAACATGCCGCTTCTATGATGAGCTGCATGCCATTTTAGGGGGTTCAGCCACCACTACCCCAGCCGTGTTGTTTGACTCCTTCAATGGAGATGGAGGCAATACGGAAGTAGGTTTTGGGGACGAAGAAGATGATGATGAGGAGGTTGTAGATAGCTCACAGCAAGCAAGCGGAGAAACCGGTTTTCCCGACAGCCAGGAACTGTTTCTCACCCTAGACCTGGAGCCAGTACCCCCGAACCCACCCAAGGCTGCCTCCTGGACTCAGCAGGCGGAGAAGGGACCTCTGGTGAGTGTACCTTTTAAAATGCTATACATGGTTTAAAAGCAAGCATGTGAAAGGATTACTTTGCTCTGGCATTTGCGGTTCTGCCTTTGCAAAAGGTTTCTGGGGAGGGCAGCCTTATTTCGTCCTTCATGGTAGGACACTTTACCACTCCAGGCCAGTAACACGTACTCGGGAATCACTGTAGAACAAAGCATTGCAGTGTATGTTTGCTGGCATTCAACCAAAATCCGCTCACGCGGTGGGAGGAGGCAAAATGCGACCCTGTAACGAAAGCACATGTGCTATGTATGTAATGTTAACAGCAAGGTTTATCCTGAAAGAGTGTAGCGACTGTTTTATAAAATGTGTCTTTTTAAATACCGCTGTCCCTTTTTTTTTCTCCACCAGCTGCATGTGTTTCAATGATCACAGGATCTTCTCCTTCCCAGAGACAAGTGAAGCTTAGAAAGAAAAAAAAACGCACTCGCGATGAAATGTTCTCCGAGCTCATGCTGTCCTCCCACACTGACAGTGCACAGACGAATGCGTGGAGGCAAATAATGTCAGAGTGCAGGAAAGCACAAAATGACCCGGAGGAGAGGTGGAGGGCTGAAGAGAGTAAGTGGCGGGCTGAAGACAGGGCTGAAGCTCAAAGGTGGCGGCAGCGTGATGAGAGGAGGCAGGATTCAATGCTGAGGCTGCTGCAGGACCAAACCAGTATGCTCCAGTGTATGGTTGAGCTGCAGCAAAGGCAGCTGGAGCACAGACTGCCACTGCAGCCCCTCTGTAACCAACTGCCCTCCTCCCCAAGTTCCATAGCCTCCACACCCAGACGCCCAAGAACGCGGTGGGGGGGCCTCCAGCCAACCAGCCACTCCACCACAGAGGATTGCCCAAAAAAAAGAAGGCTGTCATTCAATAAATTTTAAAGTTGTAAACTTTTAAAGTGCTGTGCTTAAAGTGCTGTGTGGCATTTTCCTTCCCTCCTCCACCACCCCTCCTGGGATACCTTGGTAGTCATCCCCCTATTTGTGTGATGAATGAATAACGAATGCATGACTGTGAAGCAGCAATGACTTTATTGGCTCTGCAAGCAATGATTAAAGGGAGGAGGGGAGGGTGGTTAGCTTACAGGGAAGTAGAGTGAACCAAGGGGCGGGGGGGTTCATCAAGGAGAAACAAACAGAACTTTCACACCGTAGCCTGGCCAGTCATGAAACTGGTTTTCAAAGCTTCTCTGATGCGTACCGCGCCCTCCTGTGCTCTTCTAACCGCCCTGGTGTCTGGCTGCGCGTAACCAGCAGCTAGGCGATTTGCCTCAACCTCCCACCCCGCCATAAACGTCTCCCCCTTACTCTCACAGATATTGTGGAGCACACAGCAAGCAGTAATAACAGTGGGAATATTGGTTTCGCTGAGGTCTAAGCGAGTCAGTAAACTGCGCCAGCGCGCCTTTAAACGTCCAAATGCACATTCTACCACCATTCTGCACTTGCTCAGCCTGTAGTTGAACAGCTCCTGACCACTGTCCAGGCTGCGTGTGTATGGCTTCATGAGCCATGGCATTAAGGGGTAGGCTGGGTCCCCAAGGATACATATAGGCATTTCAACATCCCCAACAGTTATTTTCTGGTCTGGGAATAAAGTCCCTTCCTGCAGCTTTTGAAACAGACCAGAGTTCCTGAAGATGCGAGCATCATGCACCTTTCCCGGCCATCCCACGTTGATGTTGGTGAAACGTCCCTTGTGATCCACCAGAGCTTGCAGCACTATCGAAAAGTACCCCTTGCGGTTTATGTACTCGGCGGCTTGGTGCTCCGGTGCCAAGATAGGGATATGGGTTCCGTCTACAGCCCCACCACAGTTAGGGAATCCCATTGCAGCAAAGCCATCCACTATGACCTGCACATTTCCCAGGGTCACTACCCTTGATATCAGCAGATCTTTGATTGCGTGGGCTACTTGCATCACAGCAGCCCCCACAGTAGATTTGCCCACTCCAAATTGATTCCCAACTGACCGGTAGCTGTCTGGCGTTGCAAGCTTCCACAGGGCTATCGCCACTCGCTTCTCAACTGTGAGGGCTGCTCTCATCTTGGTATTCATGCGCTTCAGGGCAGGGGAAAGCAAGTCACAAAGTTCCATGAAAGTGCCCCTACGCATGCGAAAGTTTCGCAGCCACTGGGAATCGTCCCAGACCTGCAACACTATGCGGTCCCACCAGTCTGTGCTTGTTTCCCGAGTCCAGAATCGGCGTTCCACAGCATGAACCTGCCCCATTAGCACCATGATGCATGCATTGTCAGGGCCCATGCTTTCAGAGAAATCTGTGTCCATGTCCTGATCGCTCACGGGACCGCGCTGACGTCGCCTCCTCGCCCGGTATCGCGTTGCCATGTTCTGGTGCTGCATATACTGCTGAATAATGCGTGTGGTGGTTAATGTGCTCCTAATTGCCAAAGTGAGCTGAGCGGGCTCCATGCTTGCCGTGGTATGGCGTCTGCACAGGTAACTCAGGAAAAAAGGCGCGAAATGATTGTCTGCCCTTGCTTTCACGGGGGGGGGAGGGAGGGAACGGGGGGCTGACGATATGTACCCAGAACCACCCGCGACAATGTTTTAGCCCCATCAGGCATTGGGATCTCAACCCAGAATTCCAATGGGCAGCGGAGACTGCGGGAACTGTGGGATAGCTACCCACAGTGCAACGCTCCGGAAGTCGACGCTTGCCTCGGTACTGTGGAAGCGCTCCGCCGAGTTAATGCACTTAATGCACTTTAGAGCATTTTCTGTGGGGACACACACACTCGAATATATAAAACCGATTTCTAAAAAACCGACTTCTATAAATTCGACTTAATTTCGTAGTGTAGACATACCCTAAGTGAATATGAGGTTCAAAGTGAATATTTCACATTCCTCCACCTCAGCATTTTCAATGTGTCAGTCCACGTAGTACATAGACACCAGTGAAAGGCAAGTGTATATTACCTGCAGTCACAAATAAGGGGTGTGTAAGACTCCTATAACTGACATAAATGGAGAGCTAATATTTGGCCTAAAAAACTGTACCTCAAGTATTCTTAACATTTAAATTGATTGCTTGAATCTGGACTGTGTAATTTTCAGTTATTATAACATGATGTTTTTCAAACACCGATAAAGACACATTCTTCTCCCCAAAGAATTCATAATCCAAGGGCCAAATCCTGCTCACTTCTGTGACATACAAGGCAAGAGTGGAGAAGCAGGGAAAGATAAATTATGAAAGGCTTTCAATTTGTAGTAGAAGCTGTGAAGAAGGGGGAGCTAGTGGAGGGATGGAGGTTCTGGTATGATCATAACAGGCCAGGAAGAGCATCTTAGCAGCTGTACTTTGAATGGACTTCAGGTAAGGGTGAGGTGCGTGTTAGCAAGGCCAGAGAGGAGCAGGTTATAGTAGTCAGGAGGGGAAATGGTAAGGGCCTGAACAGGAGCTTTAGCTGTGTGGGCAGTGGGAAAAAGTACATTAGGTAAATCACAAGACTGTAATTTTGGAAAGGCTGTGGAGGAGAGTAGTAATGTTGAGAAGGGAGGTATCTCCCCTTTTTGCATATGATATGCATAAAGAATGAAATTGATGCTAAAATATACTTTTGATAAAGAATTAAACCCCTGTCTCACAATTGGCACTGCTAATACAATTGTAAATTTGTTTGAGAAGCTAGAGTTGGAAAAGACCTTTCATGACATCCTCTCTCTGCCAATGCAGGGTTGTTTCCTAGAGTACATTGCCAAGTGCTTTGTTCAGTCTTAGTAGTTTTACTTTACCCTAATGATCATTTCTCTTGGGAGTTTATTTCACAAATTAATACATCTCACATCCCTTTCTAGCATTTAAACAATAGTCTTGTGTTAGTTTTTGTTTCTATAAACTTGAAAAATACAGTTAGGTCTAAGGAAGCTAGCTACGGCAAACCAAGCTAACACAGTGTCATGAAACATGCTAAAATGTGGTCTGAAATATTCACTGCTTCATATTTGTTCTTCTTCTAGGGTGAGCCCGGTGTGGGACTGCCAGGACCACCAGGACTTCCAGGCCCTCCCGGCCCATCCGCTCCATTCAGAGGATTTGTGAGTTTCTGAGGCTATCTGAGATTTAGCTCTGCTTGTCTTGTTCCTTAGCACAGAGTGAGGTAAAACTTAACAACGAGGGGCAGTCTGGGGAAATAACCATGTAGCCAATGTGTATAAATGGTCAAAAAGTGTACACACAATAAAGCAAACACACATTAATACATAACTGACTTAGGCCTGTATCCCAATCAGCACATACCCATTACATGCCTAAGTTGGAAGTGGGCAAATGTGCACTTGTTCTTTTGCAAAAGCATTTCTAAAGATGTGAGCCATAATACTTAGAAGAAAATATAAATGAGATGTTCTCAAAAGACACCTGTATTAGACATTTTAAAATTTGAAAAAAGAAAAGGAGTATTTGTGGCACCTTAGAGACGAACCAATTTATTTGAGCATAAGCTTTCGTGAGCTTTAAAATTTGAATTACTCATTTCCTCCCATGCCCTAACACAGGGATGTTTTGACAATCATTTGTATTTGCTGTTAAATAGAAAAGCATATGTTCTTAGGATGGTGAAGTTCTCTTTTTCAGTACTCAGGAATGAGGAAGTGAAAAAGAGTGATCCAGATTGCACTCTCATCTGTACGCATGCCTCTCCTATAGGTCTCACAGAGAGTCATGCACATGCTGCCAAAGAGCGAATTAGGCCCAAGGTTTTGATTGCACTGGCAGTAACTGGTTTCACCCAGAGATAAAGCTAGTTGTGGTTTCCATTGAAGTCAATGGTAGTTCTGTGTTTACAAGATATCATGTCTGTTAAGATAAAACTGGGCCCATTGTGTATTAAATTTTGTATTTAACAATATAATTTGTAAAATATGTTATAAGAACCTTAACTTTTGGATTGCCTGGCCCAGAGCCTGGCTGTGGGTAAGGAGCACACAGAGCAACTCAGGAAGTGGTCACAAAAGTGACACCAAGCCATCTTTGTGCTCACCTGACCTTGGGCCTACTGCATACCAACTAATTTCTCTGGTATGAGACAGAGCAGCTCAAGGGTTACTCGAATGTACCCAAGCTGATGACAACCCCAAGGGACTGATAATGCTGCTGGGGATCACTAGGGCATGGTGACGCCCCAGGCCACTCCTTTTCCCCCAGATTGACCTCAGCAAACAGAGTGCCCTATGTGTGCTATGTAGGCTCTTCATCTCAAGAGGATCACCCTTGATCCTCATATTGCCTGCTACAATATCTTTCTGGCCATTTTATGCTGGGGTGCAGTGCAAAGAGGCTGGAGTGGATCCAGAATCTGCACCCTTGACTTCTGAGTATTTACATAGTAAGTTTGCCATTATATTAACATCAACATTTATATCTGAGACACAAGGTGGGTGAGGTAATATCTTTTATTGGACAAATTTTGTTGGTGAGAGAGACAAGCTTTTGGGCCTCACAGAGCTCTTCTTCAGGTCTGGGAAATGTACTCAGTGTCACAGCTAAATGTAAGGAGGGGAACAGTCCCGCTCTTGTGGGGAACTTTCCTGGTTTCTGCCCTACCCCAGTGAAGTGGGCTAGCGAAAGGATCTGAGTCCTCGCTCCCACTTCCTTTACCCAGTGGCCTCCCTGCCCTTGAGGACTCCCCTTCCACTCTCCTGTCTGGCAGAGTCCTTGTAACCCAACAAGGCTGGGCCCAGGATTCCTGGGGGGCTCGACCCCCAACCCTGCTGTGGTCACCTAGGACAGGGGCTATGGTGTCCCCACTCCGGGGTACTCTCTCTGCACTGGGCACTTCTCTGACCCACTGACCATTACATACAAGTTAAAGCAAATGCAAGTTATTTAATCAACAATTTTAAAAAGAATAAGGAATAATGGGAAGGGTTAAAGGAAACACATCACCTCACCCTGTGGCAGGGAACATCACAAACAGTGTCTCTGGAACGTCCGGGCAGTTCACAGTCTGTTCCTTGTAAGTCCCAGGCCTTCTTCTCAGGCCCTGGCTGTGCTGCAGGGATGCTGGGGGTTGGACACTTGCTCTGGTGGTGGCCACACGCTCTCAGGCTCTAAGTGGTAGGACCCTTCTTCCCAGTGTCGCCCCCGCCCTGTTGGGGTTACGATCAAAGCCTGGCCTGCAGAGCCCCTTGGCTGAGGCGTCTCCCTGTGCTGGGCCCGCTGCCCAGGGTCCCCCTCGCTCTCTCTAGCTGCTCACCGCACCCAGCTCCGGACTGCTCCAGCCCCAGCTGCACCACTCGGTCTCTGCACTGCTGCTGCTGCTCTGCCTCCAGCTCCCTGGGCTGCTTCTCTGGCCCCTCTGCCTCTGGTTGCTGCAGCTCTGCTCCCAGGACAGGTCTGCTCTGCAGGCTGCTTCTGTGACTCTGCTCCCAGCACTGACCTGCTTCCTGGGCTGCTTTTCTGGCCCCTCTGGCTCTGGTTACTGCAGCTCTGCTCCCAGCACAGGGTCTGCTCTCTCTGGGCTGCTTTTCTGGTCCCTCTGGATCTGGCACAGCTCTGCTCCCCAGCTCAGCTTCGGCCCCTGCTTTCTCCTTAGCTCGGCCCCACTCTGTCTGACCCCAGGCAATTCCAGCTCACACAGAGGACGGGACCTCCCTGGCCTCCTGACTCCCTGATTAGCCTGCTCGCCCTGTCATTCAGGCTGACCTGGAGCATTGGCCTCTCCCCATTGTTCCTGGGGGCTGTCAGTCTCAGGGTCCTGATTCCCCATTGACCCTTCCCCCTTTTTAGTACTGGGAGCTAGCAACTAAAACACCCCCACTGAATGTTAGTAAGGGGGCAACCGTCCCCTTACATAAATACAAGGTGGAACAGATTGTTTAGAATAAGTAGTTAACACATTTCAAGGGACCATTCAAGATTAAGTTGCCAGTTAACCGCTCTTCAGTCATTAGGGGGAAAGGAAGGGAAAAAAAAAACTGGGGGGCAGGATTAGTGGGTTATGGATTGTTGTAATAAGGCATAATTCCAGTGTGTCTGTGCAATCCATGATCTTTAGTGTCTAGCAAAGTTATGAATTTAAGCTCCCAGGCTTGTCTTTTGAACATGTTGTGCAGGTTTCCTTTGAGGATGAGGGCTGATAGTTCAGATGTAGAGGTAATCACTTTGTAAGAAGTGTTCACCTACAGGTAATACAGTATTTTTGTCTTTTGTCATTTTTGTGTATGATCTTATTCAAGAGCACAGTGATTATCTGGTTTCACCCACATAGTTGTCATTGGGGCATATAGTGCACTGGATGAGGTACACTACATGTTATGTGTGGGATCCATGGATCTTGAAAGATGTGTTGTGGAGGGTGTGGGTCATTGTAGCAGTGGAGATATGTCTGCGGGTTTTGCATCTGTTCTGACAAGGTCTGGTGCTGTTTTGAGTTGATGTGTCCTGGTCTATGAGGAGCTTGCTTCTGCTGCTGAGCCTGGAGAGTTGTTTGAAGGCCAGAAGAGGGTGTTCAGGAAATCTTTCTTTGAGGATGTGGTCCCCAACGACTATGGGTTGTAATTGTTTAATGGTACCCTGTATGGTTCCAGTGTGGGGTGGTAGGTGACAACTAGATCTGTGCAGTTGGAGTGTTTTATTTCTGTATTGAAGTAAATTATCTCTCATAAAAACAAAAAGTGGAACCAACAACCACTTCCCAACCCACAGAACACCACCTCTAGGAGAAACGGTGACACTGGGGCCTACCAAATGGACACCATACAACATTCCAACATCACCAATTTATCAAGAATACCCATAACCGAAGGTGAATTATCTGTACTCTCTAAGGTACTGAACTTCTGCCCCCTCGCAGAACCTGATACCATCCTAACATATGGAGAACCACAAGAATTCTTCCACCAACTCCACCAAAATAATTCTTTTGCAACAATGACGATACCACCCAGAATTGCCATGTTCCCACTGAGAGTCATGAGAACAAAGAATAATCTGACTGGACACCCCACAGCGGTTGAGACCACACTCTTGATCATTATGTGAATTGCTTCAGGAAAAAAAATGAACTGTGAAATCCTTAACAAACATAATAATTTCTCCACTGCTGAGAGGGCAGTTATATAGTCACTGAAATCCAACCACCAGATCAAATCAGCAGACAAAGGGGGTGCCTTCGTAGTCCTCAACTGTGATAACTACACCACTTACTGCAAAGGACTCAAATAAGACCCCATACAACCATTTACCCAGTAATTCAAGGATATCATTAAATCCTTCCCCAAACAACTCCAAAAGAAACTCTACAACCTCATCCCCCCCCAAAACCCACCCCAGGGACCTTCTACATGCTTCCCAAGATACATAAACAAGGAAACCCAGGCAGAGACCCATCATATCTGGCCACGGCACTCTTACTGAAGAAATATCAGGACCCTTAGACGCCATCCTTAAACCACTCAGCACACAAAGGGCTCGCTTCCTCCAGGACACAACCAACTTCCTCCAGAAATTGCTACTTTAACAACCTCCCTCAGAACACCACCTATGCCACCATGGATGGCACCTCCCTATACACCAACACCCCTGACAATGACAGCATTGCTTCCTGCCTCAAATATCTACAAAACAATGGACAACCCTCAGTTATCCACCTCATACATGTCTCCAAACTCCTCCATTTCATCCACACCTCTAACAATTTTACATTCAACAGCATACACTTTGTCCAAACCAAAGCAACAGCCAAACCCCCCTCTTCTGGCCTTCAAACAGCCACCCAACCTCTCCATGCTCATCATCAGAAGCAAGCTTCCCACAGACCAGGACACACAAACTCAAAGTGGCTCCAGAATAACAGATGCAAAACCTGCAGACATTTCTATTGCTAGGATGATCAACACCCACCACAACACACCTTTCAAGACCCATGGGTCCTACATATGCCTAGCACAACAGGTGGTATACCTCATCTAGTGTACTAAATGCCTCGATAACAACTATGTGGGTGAAACCAATCACTATGTCTTGCATGACTTTGAACAAAAAAATAAGACAAAAATATCATATCACTTGTGGGTGAATGTTTCACAAAGTGATCACTCTATATCTGACCTCTCAATTCTCATCCTCAAAGGAAACCTGTATATACGGTGACCAGATGTCCTGATTTATAGGGACAGTCCCAATATTCAGGGCTTTGTCTTATATAAGCGCCTGTTACCGCCTACTCCCTGTTCCGATTTTTCACATTTGCTATCTGGTCACCCTACCTGCATACTATGTTCAAAAGACAAGCCTAGCAGCTTAAATTCATAACTTTGCTAGACACTAAAAATCATGATCTGAATAGCAACACTGGATTTATAGCTTATTACAACAATCTATAACCCACTAACCCCAGCCCCCAATTTCCCCTCTCTTTTTCTCCCTATGAGTGGAGCAGTGTTAACTGGCAACTTCACCTTGAATGGTCCCTTGAAATAAGTGTTAACTACTTATTCTAAACAATCTGTTCCACCGTGTATTTAGGTGTGATACTACTCCCAGTACGTTTCCCAGACCTGAAGAAGAGTTCTGTGTAAGCTTGAAAGCTTCTCTCTCACCAACAGAAGTGGTCCAATAAAAGATATAACCTCACCCACCTTGCCTTTCTAATATCCTTGGAACAACTCAGCTACAGCAACACAGCATATAAAAATTAATGTGTAATTTATTTTAAAAAATGATTAAAGCTTAACTCTCTACTGACTTCAATATGCACTTCCATAGTTTTCACTTGTAAACATTGAGGCTGCTCAGTGCTGAAGTACTCCAAGCTCCTAAGGTGCCAGTAGCAAGCCGGGTGGATCGTGACTTAGAGGCAATCACTGTAGGTGTTTCAGCAGCCAGGCCTTGTAGGTGCTAGCCCTGGTGGGTCCCAGCGACTACTCAGACACATGGTTAAGTGAAAGGGTAGTTTATTAAGGCTGGCAGGAAAAGGAAATGTTGCAAATATCCTAGGTACAGAGGCTTAAATGGTTATAGTTCAAGGTGAGCAATAGTTGTTATTGTTAGGGACCCCGAAGCAGTCCAATCAACAACCAGGGCTCTTCAGGCCTAGTGCTTGGGTGACCTCTCCAGTCCAGTTTCTATTCAGAGAAATAGGAGCCTGCAGGTTTCCAGGCCAGGATCAATTAATTAGTCTTATTAGGGTCCCTCTGCACTGGTTCAATGCCCAGCCACTACTGCTCCCTCTGTAAGACCCACATAGATCTGCACCTAGTTGTGATGTCTGGCACTCACAGTACGGGAACTTTGTGGGCAGAGAGGCCATGCCTCCTTGCTTTTAACAAAAGAAACAAGGGAAGAATTCATGTCCCCTGTAGAATTTTTTTTCCTCGGTAGAATAATAGATTCTGCCAGGGAGGTGCTGTAGTTACACCTTTTGCCCACCAGGGGCTGCTGTGGCACCAGAAGAGTGGGCAGCTGGCTCACCACCAGAGCAGCCAGCTGCAGAGGAAGGGGGCGCTTTGGCCTTGGTCCCCGCACTTCTACAAAGGTTCTAGCATCCTTGACTCCCAGCCTGTTCCACACACTGCTCTGCATATGGTTTCTGGGCAATTCTCTTTGCATTCAGTCTCTCTGTAATTCCTGACTTGCCATGTGGCCTCTACATCCAATTTCTTTGTAGCTCCTAACTAGCCATGTGGCCAGCTACTGCTTCCAATTCCCAACAATGCCCAGCTACTCTTACCTGGCCAGAGGAAGGAGAAGTATAGTGGGGAGGGAGCTGGTAAGATTTGTAGTCCCCTGCTTTGCAGATCCATGACACAAAGAGTTTGTCTACACATACAGCACTCAGCAGCACAGCTGCAGTGTGACTGGTGAAGACGCTTTCTGCTGATGGGAGAGAGCTCTCCTGTCGGCATAATAAAACCACCTCTGCAAGTGGCAGAAGCTATGATGGTGGGAGAAGCTCTCCCACTGACACAGCGCTGTGCACACTGGTGCTCATGTCTGTGTAACTTATGTTGCTCTGGGGTGTAAATAAACCACCCCTCTGAGTGACATAGGTTATGCCAACATAAACTGTAGTGTAGACATAGCCATAGTCAAAACCTGACACAGCTGTGTCAGAACTCCAGAGTGAACAAGCAGTGAAAAAACTCCTATGTAACTAACTTCAGTACAATGAATAGACATTATGCCATAGTCCCATAATGTTAAATGTAGTGTAAATTATTTACATGTGTGAAACTGATATTTCAATTGCTAATAACTCCTATTCATGTTTGTACAAGTAGCAAGAAAGCTTCAGCTTTTTCAGGTTTCTTATGCATCAAACACTCTCCAATAATTCAAAAAATGGATGACTAGATTTCTTTTGAACTACTCTAAAACTTCATCTTCATGAGACCATGCATGGAAAATTTCTCTTGGGGAAGAAATAAGATTCTTTCAGAAAATTTTGATCTTTAAAAATATGGGGGCTTGGAAATCTGAGCATAATCTTCAGTAGCGCTTTCAATGTCAATGACCTGGAGGAAAGAGTTTGGACTCCTGTATTTACCGCCAAAAATGCACAAATCGGAACTAAGCAGCCTTTCACCAATCATAGCATGACTCAGTTTCCAAATAGATTGTTTTAATTAATAGCAATGCAATAATTTAATGTTTTTAGTTTCTCTACAAAAATGCCTCTGCAGATCCCCAGAGCAGAATCTTCATCCTATGCCTTATGAGTCACAGACCTTTGCAGGAAGTTAGTAGCTAATCACTATAGATGTATTTTGGGGGATACCCAAGTGTGACAGGTATATTTAGAAATTTAAAGCTGAATGTAAATATTTATTCCATCTCATCTCCAATGATCTTACATAAGGGTGCAACTTCTGGGTATCCTTGTCAATGGAATAGAATAGTATTTGTAGGTGAATACAGAAATGAATAACTAATATAGTTAACTGGTATGAAACTCCTCCAAAGCATCTGATTAAAATGCTGGTGGTGCATTTAGATATAAAAAATATCAATGAAAGTTTAAGAATACATTTTATTTCATAGACAGCTTTCTGCTATTGAGATGCCAGCCATAATGAGATTAACAGAAGCACAAATGGTATTTTTATATATCAGTCTTCCATCTCTTCATTAGAAACAACATTTTAAAATTAATTCTCTTGACTTCAGAGTAGACTGGAACCTGAAGGATCTGGATCTGGTGACCTTGACCGAGACAGTGAGGTTTTAAGAGTAAGTATGTACTAATGTTTGCTAATTTTGTGCAGTAAATAGCTTTATCTTTTATCTGTATTTTAAATGATTATAGCATTTGAATAATTATGAATCAATGATCATATGGTTACACAGTGCAAAACATGTTTTTTATTTAGATAGCATCCTTAATACAAAACATCACAAAAAACTTTGCAAGGAGAGTTTATTTGATCCAAAGAGTAGAGGAAGCTTTGCAGTCAGATTTTAAGAGAAAAAGTGAGTTGGAAGCTTGGTTAGAGGCAAAAAAGTGCAGAAAAATGGGGCAGCACAATTAAAAATTCAGCTGTCACTAGCACTCTCCCACGATTGTGGAGCATTTGGGGAAGGGACAGAGGAGGCTCGGATTGCGGGAGTGTCATTGGTGGTGGAGTGGGAGAAAGAGATGGGAGAAACAGAGTGAAGGAATCATGGAGAGGTTTTTGTTTGTTTTAAAGAAAGTCCCTTTTGATTCTGAGATGATTAGAAGTCAGTGAAGATAAGTGGATGGTATTATTCATTGCTTGCTTCAGCTTTGGGCACCTATTCCTTTAATAAGGTGTACAACTATATGGGGCTGTTAATTCACACTAATTCCTTCTGTCAGCCTTGAGTGTCCTCTCTGTCTTCTGCCTGTATCCAAACCTTTGCAAAGGCCAGATTCAGTGCTGTACTTTTATTAAATCAAAACTGGAGATCTTTCTAAAAAGATATGCTGTAGCTCAAACAAAAAATATGGTCTTGATCAGTGGTGAGCTGAAGCCGGTTCACACCGGTTTGCTAGAACTGGTTGTTAAATTTAGAAGCCCTTTTAGAACCGGTTGTTCCGCAGAGCACCCACCGGCAGCTCCCTGCCCCGGCCCCAGCTCACCTCCGCTCCACCTCCTCCCCTGAACGTGCCACCCTGCTGTGCTTCTCTGCCCTCACCAGGCTTCCTGCAAATCAGCTGTTTGCGTGGGAAGCTGGGGCAGGCTGAGAAGCAGGCGGTGGCTCCCCGCTCAGACCCGGGGAGGTGGAGGTGGAGTGGAGGTGAGCTTGGGCAGGGGGGCGCGAGGAGGGCCGCCCGGGCCGCAGCAGGTAATCCGGGAGGGGCGAGGTGCAGGGGAACCGCTTCCCGCCCCAGATCACCTCCGCCACCCTTGGCCAGAGCGGGAAGCCACCGCCTGCTTCTCTGCCCTCCCCGGCTTCCTGCTGAACAGCTGATTCGCGGGAAGCCTGGGGAGGGGGCGGAGAAGCAGAGTGGGGCACCGCGTTCAGGGGAGGAGGCGGAGTGGAGGTGAGGAGATCTGGGGCCGGGCGTGGGGCGGGGAGCCGCCGGTGGGTGCAGAGCACCCGGGGAGTCGGCGCCTAAGGTGCCACTTTTGATGAGATCAGTGGGGGAGCGGTCCCTCCCCCTGCCCCCCCCCAGCTACGCTCTCCCACCCCTAAGAGCCAGAGGGACCTGCCGGATGCTTCCTGGGAGCTGCCTCAGGTAAGCACCTCCAGGACTCCCTACCTTGCCCCCCGGCAGGAGCCTCTGGCTCTTAGGGGTGGGCACCCACTATGGTGGCCCACGAGACCCTCCTGCCCGGTTCTGGGGGCAATCAGGGGACAGGGGAGGGGGATAGATGGGGCAAGGGTCCGGGGGGGGCATCAAGGAACGCAGGGGGGTTGGATGGGGCAGGAGTCCCGGGCGGCGGGGGTGGGCAACGACCCCCTTGTGGGGTAAGGAGGGAACCCATTGTTAAGATTTTGGCAGCTCATCACTGGTCTTGATATCGAGATTACTATGCAGGAGGTCAGAGTAGATTATCATAATAGTCCCTTCTGGATTTTGGATCACGTGGTGATTGCCTGTTCTGTTCATTCCCTCTGGAGCACCTGTCATTGGCCACTGTTGGAAGACAGGATACTGGGCTGAATGGACCTTTGGTCTGACCCAGTATGGCCGTTCTTATGTTCTTATGACTTAAAATCTATGAATCATACTTTCCCAGTATTGAATTCATCAAAGGCTGATGCCCTATTTATAATTAATATGTTAATAAGTAGGGGCATAGCGAGCAGATCGAGGGACGTGATCGTCCCCCTCTATTCGACATTGGTGAGGCCTCATCTGGAGTACTGTGTCCAGTTTTGGGCCCCACACTACAAGAAGGATGTGGATAAATTGGAGAGAGTCCAGCGAAGGGCAACAAAAAATATTAGGGGTCTGGAACACATGACTTATGAGGAGAGGCTGAGGGAACTGGGATTGTTTAGTCTGCAGAAGAGAAGAATGAGGGGGGATTTGATAGCTGCTTTCAACTACCTGAGAGGTGGTTCCAGAGAGGATGGTTCTAGACTATTCTCAGTGGTAGAAGAGGACAGGACAAGGAGTAATGGTCTCAAGTACAAGGAGTAATGGTCTCAAGTTGCAGTGGGGGAGGTTTAGGTTGGATATTAGGAAAAACTTTTTCACTAGGAGGGTGGTGAAACACTGGAATGCGTTACCTAGGGAGGTGGTAGAATCTCCTTCCTTAGAAGTTTTTAAGGTCAGGCTTGACAAAGCCCTGGCTGGGATGATTTAATTGGGGATTGGTCCTGCTTTGAGCAGGGGGTTGGACTAGATGACCTCCTGAGGTCCCTTCCAACCCTGATATTCTGTGATTCTATGATTCTATGTTCCTTTGGACCCATGTTTCTGACACTACTGCCATTAGATGGAATTCATCCTGTGTACTATCTGAGTCTCAATTAAGCCCTATTTTAGGGATTTATATGTGAATTAAGGGGTTTTTAGCCTTGTGCTGGTACTTGCAGGGGTGTGTGTGTGAATTTCTTAAGATGCAGTGTGGTCTAGCGCTGTGCTACTCAAAGTGGTGGTCCGTGGACCGGTGCCGGTCCGTGAGCCATTGGTGGCCGGTCTGCGTGCACATTGGAAAAAAAAAATTGCCAGTCCCCCACATCAGATAGCTTGAGAAGCACTGCTCTAGCAGACAAGGTGCTCGATTAAGAATCAGGAGACTTCCATTGTATTCCTGGCTCCTCCTCTGACCTGCTGTCCCTTCACCTCTCAGTCCCTTTGTATCCCTTCTACCTTGTCTCCATTGTTTAGATTATAAACTTCTCCTCAGGGCAGAGACAGTTTTGCTGTATGTTTATATAGCACAATAGGACGCCTGCCTAGGGATGACTCATCAGCTTTAACTCAAACTTTCACTTTGCTACCAAGGTAAAGTTTGGAGTTTTCCTTGACCCTGAGCTATTTTTTTCTTCCTACATGTCTGAACAGCCAGCCAAATCCAGCCTTACCTTGCTCCTGCTGAAATGCTGAATAACGAAATGCAGCAACAATAATCCCATAAAACTCCCATCTCCAAGCATTACTTTGTATATAATGACAGGTTTCAGAGTAACAGCCGTGTTAGTCTGTATTCGCAAAAAGAAAAGGAGTACTTGTGGCACCTTAGAGACTAACCAATTTATTTGAGCATAAGCTTTCGTGAGCAACAGCTCACTTCATCGGATGCATCACTTCATCGGATGCATACTGTGGAATGTCTTTCCACAGTATGCATCCGATGAAGTGAGCTGTTGCTCACGAAAGCTTATGCTCAAATAAATTGGTTAGTCTCTAAGGTGCCACAAGTACTCCTTTTCTTTTTGTATATAATGTTGCACTTAACTGGGCTTAATGCCCAGAGAATCAGCCAGAAGCACAGTAAAGGTGTGTGTGGGGGAATCTTACAAAGAGAAAGAGCTGGTAGTCAAATGGTCAAAGGTGAACAAACCTAATACAAAGGTATTGTATTGATCATTGTTGACAGCCAGAGAGAGAAACTACCATACACCTTTGGGATGGGCCTGTCATCTGTATTGAAATTTTCTGTTTTATAATCTTCTTAAATCTCTCTTTTCTAAACTTCAAGAAGTCCAGGATGCCATATCCAGGAAGCTTGGTCATATAGTTTTGCCCCGTCCTGCAGCATCTTCACTGACATCCTATCCATCTCTCAGTCCAGTTCAAAATTGCTCTCCTAGGACTCAGTGTTGTGAGGTGCTGAGAAACTTATCCTCAGCCAAGTGTTCCTTCAGTGGGACTCTTCATGTGCATAAAGTTAAGCATGTGATTGTGTTTTTCTGGATCAAGGCCAAAGTGCTCATCACCTTACAGGGTCAAGCCCGTAATTTTCAAAATTCTCCATTACCTTTTTCCGTTAATATACAGGATCAGTAATACAAGGTAAAGCATTAAAGATTAACTTTTATTTAAGAGAGGAATTTTCAAATGTATATTTCTTAAATATGAAAACAACTTGGTTCTTTCCATGGATCTTTCATTTCATGCGGTTTAATGTCATTGTGCTATCAGAGCCACGTCTTTGGGGCAGGAATCACCTGTTTGTTCTGTTTGTACAGCACCTAGCACAATGGATTTAACATGTCCATGACTAGGGCTCCTTGGTGCTATGGTAATACAACTAGTAGTAATAATCCTGCTCCCTCTGAAATTAATAGCAGAAGTCCCTTTGGCTTCTATCTATCCTGATTGCTTTGGAATGAAGACCATGTTGATCACTGGAGTATCCCTGAGTGTCTTACACAAAGTAAACACAGTAGATTTTCATTTTTAACTGTCTTCCATAGTTGCAGATTAAAGGTGATGGTGGAGGCATACCTCCCAGAGCAAGGGAAGAATGAGCTTCTGTGACACTGCTAGGGAGAGAGGGGGATCAATGGGAGCAGGATTGACCCTTAATGAAAAGAAAGGGAAGTGTTTGCCCAAGTTCAGTGATATAGAGTTTTATGAATTCTATTTAAGAATGCTGGTTCTCTTTAAGAATGCTGCATGGACCTGGCCGGGGTGGGGATGAAAACAAATGACAATGTTTTCTAACAGTATTTCTGATTTCTCAAGGGTCTCCCTGGGCCACCAGGCCCTCCAGGATTACCCGGAGCACCAGGAAAACCTGATTCAAATGCAAGATCCCCTGGATCACCAGGGAAAGATGGGAAAGATGGACCTTCTGGTGAGCCAGGCCCTCCAGTGAGTATCACTCATGCGTAGACATTAGTGCTATACTTCAGCTATAATTTCCTACACAGAGAACTTGCATGTTTCTTAAGCCTTGTCTACACTGCCCCTTTACAGCGCTGAAACTTTCTCGCTCAGGGATGTGAACCCCCACCCCCACCCTGCGAGCACTGCAAGTTTCAGCGCTGTAAAGTGGCAGTGTAGACAGCACCACCGCTAGGAGCTACTCCCCCCTCGTGGAGGTGGGTTTTTTTTTACAGCACTGGGAGAGCTCTCTCCCAGCGCTGGTGCCGCGACTACACAGCCATGTTAAAGCGAAGTGAAGACAAACTCTTAGAATGCTGACTGTTGTTGGTATTTTAGGATGGGCGCTACTAGATGAGCCCAGGATTTGATGGAATTTGCAATTTTTTGCCAGATTCTTATGAAAGGCACAAAAGCCAAAGGGCCATATTCTCTGGAACAGCTAGCTGCATTGCTTCATTCCAGAGCAGTGCAAAGCAGCCAAAGAATACAGGTGAATGTGGACCAGGCTGAAGAATGAAGGATGCTTTTACTGAAGTTTAATGAGACTGTTTATTTGTTTTTCCCTGACATTTTCAGGAAAATAAATCTGGGAAGCAGTTACACAATTCAAAGGGAATTTATAACTTAAAGCTACCATTGGACTTTCATCTCTTTGGGCTTTCTCCCTTCATTGTAGCTCACCCAGAGATGAAAATTTACCCTTTAGTCCTAAGGAACACTTGAAGCGCAGTCCTACTTTGAAAGATGATAGTAGAAATGGTGTCATGGGGTTGTATATTTATTGTATGTCAATACATGTTAAATAAGCTCAGCTAACAATAAAAACAGTAACTACTAGCTCTGTAAACTTAGTCTGGAATCTGAGAGTCAAGGTGGGTTTTTTCCTTCTCACACATCACCACTGGCAACAGAAGTTGAGGCCCAAATCTGATCCGCTGCAATCCCGCTATCTTCAAATTATTCTCTGTGACCCCAATGCTTTCAGTGGATTTGCACAGGTGTAACCGGCACTTTGTGTAAAAAAACAAACAAAAACCCCCCACTCCTTTCTCTCTGTCCCAGTTGCGTTGGTTTTTCAGGGCTAAAATGAGTAAAAACATAGTGCCTAGAGTCAGCAGACATGATTCTGATTACTGTTAGAGAGCTTATTCCTTCCTTCACTCTCCCACTTCCCTGGTCCTTCTCGCATGAACAGAGAGCAACAATACCCGAAATCCAAAGGTGCAAACAATTCGATGTTTATTGGGGTGAACTTCCAGCAAGCTTAAATACAAGTTCCTTTTTCCTTATTTTCGAATCCCAACTTACTTCCTGTTTGCCCCTAATTTATATAGTAATATTCTTAGCTATACCTTAACCAATCATTCTACTGAAATTTAACTAACCAATCCTAACATATTGTAACATGATTAGCTAACCAATTATATCCCACCACCTTAATTAGTTTACACCCAGCAAAATTAATTATACAGCAGACAGAAACAATCACAGAACCAGACAGAGACCATGCCAATAAACAATAGCAAAGTGGGAACTATAATGACAAAACAATACAGAAGTGAGGATTTCACAACTACATCTATAAAGACATAAGACAGGTTTCAGAGTAACAGCCGTGTTAGTCTGTATTCGCAAAAAGAAAAGGAGTATTTGTGGCACCTTAGAGACTAACCAATTTATTTGAGCATAAGCTTTCGTGAGCTACCATAAATAAATTGGTTAGTCTCTAAGGTGCCACAAGTACTCCTTTTCTTTTTGCGAAAGACATAAGAGTTTCCCAGCTGTGTCTATTGATAAGTGAGTTCTTACCAGACAGAAAACTATCAACCTCAATTTCCTTTTACATCTTCTAGGCACTTCCCTTTCTCTGGAGGTGATAGGCACTATCAGGACAGGATTGTATTCCTAACAGCCCAATAGCACCTTCTTTCAATGTGACTACTTTGGAATGTGAGGATGTGACCGGTCGCTTCCCAGCTTATGGCTGCCTCTGTCGCTTAGCCAAAGGCCTTAGCCTAAGAACAGGGCCTCAGACTGTCACAGTAAGAGAAGGACCTTACACTGGCAGACAGTGATTTTGATTCTTTCTTTTATACCTCTAACTAGCCAAGTGATAAGAATACACCTAAATTCTTAAAGTACAGGCCTCTACAGACAGGCCTGAATATCTATATCCTAACAATTACATCATGCAAGAAAGTGATTACTGAATGTAACCACTTTTCAGAGTAGAGTAGAAGGACACTTTGGGCTGGTCTCCACTACGGGGAGATTGATGCTGCCGCAATTGATGCAGCAGGAATCGATTTAGTGGGTCTAGTGAAGATCCACTAAATCGATGGCAGAGTGCTCTCTGGTCAACCTTGGTACTCCAGCTCTCCGAGAAGAGTAAGGGAAGTCGACCGGCAAGCATCTCCCAGTGACTCAGCACCGTGAAGACACTGGGGTAACTCGCATAGCTGGAGTAGTTTAGCTTAGGTCACCTTACCCCAGTAGTGAAGACAAACCCTTAGAAAGGCCCAATCCCACTCGTGTTGACTTAGTTGAAGCAAGATTGACCCCACCAAAGAATTGGTGCCCAGATTAGCTACAGTGTTGTTTTTCTTTCTTTTTTTCAAGCAAAGACAATTATACTTGGCATGCCCTAATGAATCTTAGCTCAGAACATATATCTTCTCAAAAATCTTTGAAGCTAAATACATTATTTTTAAAATATCAATTTATCTGATTAATTTTGTTTGTTTAAGTCATAGGATGAATTCTAATTTCATTGAATTGTAATTGTAATTTCATTCCTTGAGATCTTTCCTCATGTCCTGAAGGACCTGTTCCTTGAAGCCCTTCAGAAGGTGGCTCCAAGGACATGAAACTTGGACTCTTCATTCTACCACCTGTGAATAAATGACGGGAATGATTAGGATAGTGTCAATTGATTGTACTACTTGTTTAAACTAAAATAGGAAAAACAAGCTATTTGGGAGCAAACATTTATTGTACTTACTGTAAATGTAAGTGCCACAATAAGAGGATCATCCCACTCTGAGTTAAAATAAATAATTATGGTTTTAAGTGACTCCTTTTAAATAGTATCAAAAGGCAACCAAATAAAGGGCAATAATACATCTGCCTTAAATGACATAATATAAATACTTGCTTTCTATAGGGGGGAAGAAAAGTGCTAGAATGAACAAAATGGGGTCCCCAAAGTCATTTAATGTATTTTTGTTTCCTAATCAAAAAAGGCTGCCAAGTTTGCAGAAGGTAGGAAGGACAGTTTAAAGAACTGTGTCTGTTTGAGTCAATTAATCTTGAACAGACCAGAAATTTTATGAAACCTAGGATTTCAATCCTGTAAACCCTTTCTCATGTTGTTTCATATAGCCAGTATCCATATACAGCAGCTGCTGCTGCCAACTCAAGCTGGTTAAGGACAAACCTAAATAATATAAAAGACAATTGAAATAGAAATGGTTCACCCCCATCCCCAAAGCCTGCCCTTTCTGTGGCGTGAGGGTGACCCTGGCGCACGTGTATCTTCAGTGCACCAAATTGCAGTCCCTCTTGTTTGGTGGAGGATCAACCCTTAGGCCAACCTTCAGGCCTACCCTTAAAGTAACAACCAAGGGAGCACAGAAGGGGGAAGGCAAACCCTGCCATCAGTGGGGCTGATTACCCCAGGCCCACCATCGCCAGAGGGGTAAGCACTAAAATCTGGCAGGATGAAGGAGGTGTCTGGTCAGAGGCTATCCTCACATTTCCCTTAGCAAAAGTGTAAACATTTTCAGTGTTGGATTGTAGGGTTTCTACACAGTCCATGGTTCAACTCACTTTGTTCCTCTTCAGGGACTCTATATAAAAAGTTTGCTGGGACCCCTTATCTCCTGCCCAGATGTGAAAAGTGCTGGGATACGCTTTGTAGTCTCACTGACTGCTGTCCTATAAGCCATCAAAAGGAATGGGATATGCTGGTCTCAGTTCCTTTGACGCTGTTCTACAAAGGAATTCCTAGAGTCCTATTGAACCTTTTCACCATCCCATCAGATTGGGGTGGGGTGGTGATGGGAGCTCTGCAATCCCTAGAATCTCACAAATGTGTTGGAACACTTTGGATTCTGATTTTCTCCTTTCATCTTTAACTCATCTGGGACCCCAAATCTGGTGAAGAATTCATTTACTAAGACCTCTCCTACTGTCCCAGCATCTTGATGTCTTAGTGTGTTAGCCTCAGGCCATTTTGTAAAGTAGTCCAGAACCACCAGCAAATACTTATTGTCAGCCTCTGTCTCAGCCAAGGTCCCAAGAACATCAATGGCAGCATGCTCCATTGGTGCCCCCCACAAGATAATGCCGCAAAGGGAATGTCCCAGTTTTAAAGGGACCCCCCTTTATAATGCAAGCATCACATTTCCTTTATCAATTTTCCACATCCTGCCTGAATTTTACCCAATAGAAATTTTTTTTAGGTTGGCTCAGGTTTTTGCAGTCCCCAAAATGTCCAGTAGTTTTAAAATCATGACGTAACCTCAGAATTTCTTTTTTAATGTATCCGGTACAACCAGCTGGTGTCTGGATCCATCACTTGCTGGTTTCTCCCCATTCCTATACAATATTTCCTCTTTAAACTCAAAGCTTTCCCACCGTGACCCGAAAGCCTTCAGTGTGGTGTTTATCGGGGGGACACTATGTTCCACGGTGGCTGCATATGCAAATTGATTTTCCAGTCACACACAATCCTGATATCAGGATCCTCTCTTTGGGAAGTTTTGACTTGTTCTGGGGTCCATTCCTGCAACTCCATCCTCATCATTCCAGTTGATGAACCAGGAACATGGGCACTTGTGTGAATTAGAGGAAGTGAGCCGCCCCCAATTCCCTTGAGCAACTAATTCTTTGCTCTCCTGTTTGGGGCAGGGTTTGCAGTTAGACTCCCAACAGAGTTGTCTGGACAAAGTATCAGCATTACTGTGCTTATCGCCAGACTTATG